TAATAGATAGAATCATAATAATAAATCAGTGTTCGTAAATAATTTCATCTTCGAGAAGATAATTAGGTAAGTAAGTAAGTAAGTAAGTAAATAAGTAAATAAATGAATAAATGAAGTAAAAGAGAAAATACATAAGTCCGTGTTCCGGGTTAACGAACCGTTCGATTATTCTTCGAACGATTGAAAAAGATAATTTCTGAAAACTCTGACAAAACATTAATGATATCCTTTTTAAAAGATTGTGTGTGTGATCATCACATATGTGTGATATCCTTACGTGTTCCTTACATAAGTCACATGAGGATCCTGTTCTCGTTTTCACTCTTTACTTACGTGTGTTCGAAAGATCACGAAAGAATGAGAGGAGGAATACTCACCGATGGGTTGTACTCTCTCTTTCGTTGGAAAGTTATATGAAACATTCTTAAACGTTTTTTTAAAATGCCATTAGTATTTGATGATCGTGACGCTACGTGGCACCACTTTACGACATTTTTTTTCAATTAAATTTACCTGTCTTATCATATCGTAACACGTTCGTCGTCCTGTCACCCAAATAACGGTGACGTTCTTGTTGAAGTTAATAGAATTTTTATTTGAATTTTGAAAAAGGAAATTTAATTTATTTAATATAATAATATAACTAAATTAATTTAATATTAAATAATATTATAATATATATGAATTTAATATTAACAGACGTTGAGCGCTACGTCAGTCATTGGTGACTGACATTAGACTTTATGTTCAGGCCGCGTCAGTCATTGGTGACTGACACGTTCGATATTTTTCAATACAACGTAACGCCTGTGGCCTGGCGGGAATTTCCCTAAAAATTCGTGTGGCGCTCAATGTGTTAAAACTGACAAAACCCGAAAAACTTATCACATTTTCCCATTTTTAAACAAAATTCTGTGCAATAGATAAAAGATAATTTTATACTTTATTCCTTGCGATAAATTCAAGATAACAATATCATAATATAATCATAATACTTGAGATAAATTGTTTATATTTTTGTTTATCGTTTGTTTACTTTACGGTGGACTGATTGATTCATATTTGGGACCCACGAAAAATACAAACGAATCATGCTGGACGATAAACGTGTTGACTGCTATTTTGTTCTACACAAATCTCATTCATATATTTTAATCTGATTTACGAATACAAATTTTTTGACTGTATCCTGTTTTTTTTTTCAATAACTCGAGTAAGAAAAAAAAATGAATGAAAGTTAAATGATAAAATTTAAAAAGTGAAGGGATAGAATTTATCTGATTGAAATGAATTCTATTAACGAGAGATATACAAAATTGTTGCACAATTAACATTGACCTAGATGTAAATAAAAAGGTAACTTTGAAAGTAATCGGTTATTTTTTATCGCTCATGTATTTATCATAAAATTAAGTTTATTTATGAATTTAAATATCGTCATTTCGTAAGATGATTTTTAATACGAAAGGTTTTATCAATTAGTGTCACGTATTTCAAGTTATTTTGAACAATCGAGTAAAATGATGTTAATCATGAGATGTCGAGCAACAAATTCTGTCTCGCTTGTTTTATCTTTAAATCCATTTTTTTATTACCCATTTTAATATTATTATAAAATGTTCTAATGTATTAAAATATTCTTATAGATTGCTCAAAACATTAAAAAAAAAAAAAATGTACAAAAAAAAGAAAATATCGAAGACAAGTTCGTTGACTCTCGTATGATCATTTGAATGAAATGATTTACAAACAGATGTATATCTGAGATTGCGTAATAATGGCCGATACATTGGTAAGAAAAAGATGAGCAGTTAAATAACACGGGCACGTAGTGAGAACCCTTATATATATACCTAGTTAAATCAATAGGGTATCATTTAGAAGTGACATAAACGTTCACGATACACTCCTAATGTTTTTTTCCAACCAATTAAACTCGTTTCGGTGTCCTTGATATTTTCTATCTAACATTTTCGTGCACCGAATTGAAAATAGTGGGTGTGTGAAAATGTGTTACGCTGTATTCTCAAAGTTCTAGTTTGAATAATAATAAACATTTTTTTTTTTTTTAATTATTATAATAATTAACTCGTAGTTTCATTGATCTTTCATCGAATAGATAATAATAAATATATATATATTTTTTTAATTATTATAATAAATAATTCTAAATAGTTTTATCAAATTCGAGAACAGTATTGTTTTTTTTTTATTATCGATTAATTCTATGTGCATAAATTATTTTTCAATACATTTATAAAATTGGTATTAAAATGGTATTAAAAATCAAGATTATGGTCAAGGTTGAAAGAAAGGAATACGTCTAATCAATGTCGGTGAAACGGTATTAATTACTAAGAAGGATTAACGTATCTCGTTGTACAATCATAATTAGTGTTAAAAAAAAGTTTTTATGATTGGAAATCGTTAATTTGACTAAAGGATTACGTAAACATTTTATAAATCATTTCGATGGATTTACTTTCTACCAATGTGTATATTTTAATTAAGAAAAACAAAGAATAAAATTATTTATTATTGTTTGCTATTCTATTGAAATAAAAATGTTAGAAAAAAATATGACACTGTTAAAATAAAAAAAAACGATTTATACGAAAAAATAATTCAAACGAATGATGTGTGTAATTAAAAAAAAAAAAGGTAACAGAACACAGTCTCGTATTTCATAATCAAAGTGTTGTTAATTTTTGCGTGAAATGCGTAATACGTGTAGTATAATTTAACATTTTATCCGTGAAAGTAGAAATGAAATAAAAAAAAAAAAAAAAATACAAAACTAGAAATCAAATTGATGATCTCAAGGTAATCATTGATACATGTATGTAATTAATTTCAATAAAATTTCGCTTGATCTTACGAGTATTATAATAATAGGTTATTCAAATTTAGCTTAATAAAAAAAAAAAAAAAAATAAAAAATAAAAAATCATAGAAAGTTGTAACTTCGTAACTCGATTAATTTCAAATAATATTTTTGAACGAAGAATTACGAAAACAAAATAAAAAAAATTCAACATAAAATAACGCAATAAGATCGATTACAACGAATTAAAATTTATTTAAATGCCAATTCAAAATTCGTATATTCATAAAAGATGTACGCTTAATAAAAAAAAAAAAAAAATCATAGTCCCGTAACTTCGTAACTCGATTAGTTTCAAATAATATTTTTGAACGAAGAATTACGAAAACAAAATTTAAAAAAAAACATAAAATAACGTAACAAGATCGATAACAACAGAATAAAATTTGTTTAAATGCTAATTCAAAATTCGTATGTTCATAAACAATTTCAAGATTCAACGAAGAATTTAATTAAAATCCCGTTGATTTTCGTAATAATTCGTTTATGGTGGTGGTAATGGTAGTGGTGGGATTTTATAAAGAAGAAGGGTGGGAGTGTACAGTGGCGTGGGTATGCAGGAGACAGGAGAGGGTGTTATAACTAAATAGAGATTAATAAAAAAAACAAAACAAAAAAAAGGGATAAAAAAAAATGTAAAAGATCCATGTGGGTTTGTAAGAGGCAAATTGAAAGTCTCCCACCACTGATAGCATATATCGTAGCTCGCAATTCTCGAAGCTCGATACTCGATTCTCGATTCTCGAAGGGGCACACATGCTCGTGTTCGTTCCCTCGAGTTTGTAAGACATCGGAACCTCCTTCACCGTGGTCCTCAAACGAGTCTCGTACTCCGTCAGGTAAACATCTCTTCGCTCACCTGCATATTACCACTTACTGTGTTTACTGTAAGTTCATTTTTCGTCTATTATATATATATATACTATTCATTCATTCATTTTTTTTTTCTTTTAATATCCAATAAACTTATATCCTTGCAGGTATACGAACATATGCATTAACACACATGTGAATTTATCTTTCATTTAAAATTTTGGTAATTTGATTTTTGGTTAATTAATTTTTGATTTGAAATTTTGTTAACTTTATTTTTAGTGAATTTGATTATTATATTTATATTATTTGTATTTATATTTTTTTAAATTTATATTTTATTTATATTTATATTTATATATTTTTTTTATTTATATTTGTAGGTTTTGTCGATGAATTTTATTTGTTTTTTAATTATGCAAGTATGCACACATGAACACACACACGTGAATTTATATTTTATTTAAAATTTTGGTAACATTATTTTTAGTGAATTTAATTTTTTTATTATTTGTATGTTTT